GTTTTTCCCATTGAAATTCAACATTTTGCTCACCCAAGTCGGACGTTGCTGAGAGACTACTCCTTTTCTTATATTCCGAGAGATAGGTCTGCAGATCGGAATGAATTCCACGAGAGTGCAAAATACAAGAGATCTGAGTCATTACATCCGAAGTTGCTACTTCACTATTCATTGTTCCTGTGGATTCCTTGTCGGGAAGAAGACAGAAAGTGGTCGATGTTCCTTCGACAACCCTGTTCTTTTGGTTGTGTGAAGGAATATTGACAACTCCCATCTTGGCTACTGCTTGTATAGCTGCAGTTCTGCTCATAACTCCTATCTGTGTTTGAACTTCAGAGGACCCCTGCGTTTCAGTCCAGGCAGATTCGCTGCTTGTTCTGGTAATAATCTGGGATTGGACATCACGAATTTTGAGTCCTCGATGGGAGTCTTTGGTGGCATGGGCTACTGCATTTCTCAGTTCCAAATTCAAGGAATCCACATCATTTATTCCCAAAATTTGCACGCCTGGACCCTCATAGAGATTCACTGATGTGCCAACCGATACTGGGCAGAGAACTTCGCCGACTCTGAAACCTAGACCTTCAGTCTCCTTATTATTCATCACTTCCAATCCAAGATTACCAATATCTACACGAGAGAGGTCAATCGCTTGTGGAGCAACACGAACTCCAACTTGAGAAGTGGCATTCCTTGTTACTCTTAGAATTTGAGATTGCACATCAGCTGTACTAATCGGTTGATCAATTTTTCTCAACTCAGAGATATTATCAAAAACAAGTTTGTGGTCCTCTTGGTCGTATTGAACTCCCGTATTCATTGTGACACGAAGAATTTGAGTTTGAAGGTCATTTGTGCTAGCGCTTCTCTTTAGAATAGAGGCATTTCCACTCCACACTTTTCCTCCGCCTTGCCCATCTTTTATGACCTCACCAACGAAAGTAACTCCATTTGCTTTTGATCGCGCGTTCGAGGTGACAATTTGTTTGGCAACTTTACCGTAATAAGAAGATTGGGTCTCACTTGACGAAGCGTCATCTAAATTCATCTCGTAATGATCTCCACCTGATCGGTAGTCATTTTCAACCACACGGAGTTTGGAAAAAGGAGTTGAAGGGAAGTTTTTCATTATATCCTCCAATGGTTCCATGCTGTAGTCACCAATGGCTCGATCAAAAGCTTGTCGCTTCGTTTTCCATGAAGTCATTCGTTGTTGGAGGCTCTTAAGCTGGTTTTCCTTTTCTTTTTGTAATTTTCTTAATTGAAATGTAAGAAAGTTAGAAGTGGGATATTGACTGTGATTATCTCATTAGTACCATTTTCGAATACTCACTCCATTCTAGAGATCTCCTTGAAGATGTTTTGTCTCTCGTCTTCAACAGATTTTAAGTAGCGCTGAACCTCTTCAGCACTCATCGAAACCCGAGATTGGACTTGATCCACATGGACTGCTTGGTTGAGTACACGACGTAGAGGTGCACGAAGCGCCCTAATATCCTGTTCGGTTAGTGATATTGCTCCACGTGGAGGTCGCCGATTGGCTAAAATAACGTACGGGTGGTATTCATAATTGATTGCTATTTAAGGTCAGTTATCTTAAAAAGATGTAGCCAATTTTACTGCTACTTAAGAAAGATGATCAAAGTGACGCAACAAATTTTTTGCTCGATGTCAGATTTTTAACAAAAAAAAATAGAATAGAGACCGATTATGCTGAAAAAGTCCTTGGAACTACCGGGGAGTGTTCTTCAAGTACTTTGAAAACCACTCCTAAACGATTTAGTTGTCTGGATTTTTCTTAAAGGTGTTAAAGAGATTAAAATGATAAAATGATCTCCTAATCAAATCCTCTTCTGTTGATTGGCCAGCTTAAAACTTTAGAATTTAGATAAAATCTCCAAAATATTAAAGGATTTTGATGTTAAAAAACATAAAGAATTCGAAAATATGAAAATGCAATTGATTAACTATTCTTTAGAATTAATTTTACCAGAACTCTAGTTAGCTACTGTCATTGACTGTTTCAGGATATAATCAAGATGCTCCAATCCATCACCGAATTAAAGGGATTTAAACTCATTTATGAAAGTGGAAGTCAAGTCGTGAAATTTCCGCATTAGACTATGATAAAAAGGTTTACAATGCTTGTATGTTCTTGTACTGCGCTTGTTTGACGTTGCCAAATTCTAGATCGGCATCTTATCGGGTATTTGTCAGATTCCGAGTAAATGAGGGAGCTGCACAGATAGAACTTTCCTCGCAACAATGAGAGGAACCTGATGTCCCAATACGAGGTCTATAATTTGGAAATCTAGAGCGCAACTTTCCTATCAAAGGATCATGAATTGAATATGAAAGCTGTTTCTGGGACTGTTGGCCATTAAGCAGCTCTGGAATGGATCCTTATCAATCCTCACCCGTCCCGCCCCCCGCCCCGCCCCCACTGTAAGATGTTTGCTATTGTAAATATTTCTCTAAACTTTTTTGCGCTGAAGGCATTAGAGAGGAAAATCGTAGGAAAAAGGTTATGTTAACCACTGTTTGGAAACTTAACTTACGTGAGAGTAGCATGAGGGTGTTGATGAATTTTTCATATGCACGATGCAGAATCCCACTGTCGTAATTGGTTGCAATAAGGATGGAGTCTAAATCATCAAGGAAATCGTTCATCGCGTCTTCGTGAGCGAAGTAAATGGCCTGTGAGAATGTGAGCAAAAAAATCAACGAATATATTTAGGTCATATAAAAAAGGACACTTTGAAACCTAGACAGTACCGGATAATAGCTAATTACTCGGCATGAAGTCCTGTAGAAGTGGGCCTTATTTGTGTCATAAGTATATCAAGGTAAATACAGCGGGACACAAAGTGCATAAGCTGAATGTTAGGCGGAAGTAAAAGATGAAAAATTACTTGGGGGGGGGGGGGGTGTGGGAGGTTAGGGGGAAGGAGCATCTGGTCTCGATGACCACAATCCTTCAACTCAGATGAAACCTGTGTGTAGGTTATGTTTCGCTTCGATTCAGCACATTGGGAGCTTGCTTCTAATGTACGTACCTCTTAAGTCCAAGAATCGAATTGTATTATCAATAAGAGCACGGTTTCAGTCCCTAAGTGCACTTTTAATCATTCTCAAGGCTAATTTTCTTTCCTAGGAGTTCTCAAGTTGAGTTTTAAACCGAATGTTCACTTATTTTCCTCCTATATAAGATTCCCATTGTTTAATGATCTTTAAGAAATTCGTTTAGAGAAAATGATTTGTAAAATCTTTCATGTCAACTTTGTCTTGAATGGAGGTGGTTGCTTACTAATTACAATACTGAAAAATATAATTCGTAGATTAAAACGCAAATTTGGTTTTTTTTGCAATGAGGAAGAAAATGCAATTTCAATTGGCATTCAGGTTACTCACCTCATTTTGGCAGTATTGCTCCAAGAGTTTGGTGTAGTATTTGACGAGTCTGCCTTTGTTGCGTTCCAGTACCCGCTTCCAATTAGAAACACATTTCCTTTGAAGACTAGGCGTTAAAATTGCACACAAATTAATATCTCTGCAAAACTTTTTTTCGCGATTTGCTTAATAAACCGGTTTTCTTAGTGTCTGTTAGCTGCTACAATTCTAGCGAGGGTGAAACTGAATCGAAAGGGGGGGGGAGGGGGTTGACAAAGTTGATCCATTATTTCTAGTAGTCATTCAATCACAGAAAACGTTATTTATTCCAAATGGCAGGCGTCCTGATAGTTATCATTAGCCCTTTAGTTGACTTCAGGCTTCACAGAGGGGAGGAGGAACATCAAAGTGGAAAAAAAGTCGAGAGGGGGGGGGAACAGAAGAGTGCTTCAAAGACGAAGGTAGAAAAAAGGTGAAGTGAGTACTATGGAAGAAGTCGAATATGGCATACAGTGGGGTCATGGCAGTTTGAAGTCAGAAGTCAACAGCCCATTGATAGACTTTTTTGCCGTATGAGTAAACGTTGCCCAGGGTGCACCACGTGGAGGTAAGTCTATCGCACACTCCATCACAGAAAATGTGGACCTGGGCATAATAATCTATAGCGAAATTTAACGCATTCTATCTAGTCTATCGGTTAGACTATTTAGTTGCATCGGCCAAATAGTTGTTTGATTGTCTTAATTGGCTATCTACTATAAGGAACATGATCGCATTGAGACTTTCTCACTCTCTTCAGCCCTCAACCCTCATTTAATGATATCTTAATTTGGCCTCTTGATTACAACCACTTTTCCACTAACTGTTGTTCCCTTTTTATCCTATTTCAAACACCTCCCCTTCCCATCCTCATCTAACATTTCAACTTAAATCTTTGTCTTATCATTTTGTAAATGTTGCCTATGGACAAATATCTAATTCGAGTTCACAAATTGGTTCTTTGATTGGATTCAATGGTATATCATTCCCAGGAAATACCCCATTCCTATTGGATAGATGTTTCTAAGACTAATAAGACTTCTTTAGATTTCACCCCCCCCCCATC